TTTGGCACCTATGTAGCCCTCTAGTCGAGGTTGCTCCGGCCCTCCTGAGCATCTTGCTCTTCCGCAGTGACCACGTTCGAGCCCTCGCCACTAGAAGGGGCAACACTAGGGCTCGGAGCGGCAACACTGGGAGACGAGCCAGACACCAGGTTGGGGTTGAAGGCAACCGGGGCTTGGGGTCTCGTGTGAATACACACGTTTGCCGAAAAGAACAAGACGATGTATTGGGCTGAGGTCTGTGCATGCGATAGAAAAGAAAAGTTACTCACCTGAGTTGCCAATGGTCGTGACCTGGCCAATGACGTTGGGGGAGATGAACTGCTGGAGATCGAGCAGGCCAACGTTGTTGAGGAGACCGAGCTGGAGCTGCTGGAGCTGGAGGCCCTTGAGATCAAAGCCGTTGAGAACACCGAGCTGGTGGATCTGGAGGAAGGTGTGGAGTTGCTGGAGCTGAAGGAGAGACTGGAGATCGAACTTCTGCTGAGCAAAGAGACCTTGGAATTGCAAGATGTTGAAGTTGTTGACATTGGCGAGGTTGCCGAGGAGACCAACTTGCAAAGAGTTGATGTTGAGGAGGTAGTTCAGGTTGACCTGGTTGAAGCCCTTGAGACCATTGAAGGCATTGATATCGAAGGCGAAGGCACGCTTGTCAACCTCGGTGCTGGCGGGAGCGACAGCAGGGGCAGCGGCAACCATGGCGGCGAGGGTAGAGACGACGACGGTGAAGAACTTCATTTTGACTGATGTTTTTGTTGTTGAGTGAACGACTTTCGAACAAAGAGATTAAAGGATTATAAAGGTTAAGAGCACAGCTCAAAAATGTTCAAAAATTGAAGGAATGAAGCGAACAGCGAGCACAGCTATGATTGACCGGGTTAGCCTCGATACATTGTTTCATTCGAATGGTTCTTTTGTTTGGTGGGCTTACCTCTGAAGAATGAATGACTGAAAGAAGATGGCGAACGGGCCTTGGAAAGCTGGAGTTGTGAATGGGATGAAGAAACAAAAGTCAGGACAGAACGGGAGATCAAGTCACCTTATATGGTGGCTCGAACGTGCCAAGGACCAGAGGCGACGATGATGGCAAAGATGGGAGCAGGAGTTGCGTGCCAAGGATTTCAGGGAGACGCCGTGATGTTCGGAAAGGAGAGCACGCACTCATCCGAAGCGTGTCAGGCGTCAGGCGTCACTGGACGGAGGCGGGTGGGTAAAACACCACAGACAGGGCAAGCCAGGATGTGCCGGGATGTGTTGACGATGTCGTGGTGGAACCAAAGAACCGAGAACGTCAAGGCAACCCAGGGCACATCAAGAACAAAACCGCCGAGACGGGGATATGCCCTGCACAGGGAGGGAGGGTAGTCGAGAACACTCGGCACCTGCGGCAACGTCATGGTACGGAAAGCTCTGTGGCCGAGGCCATCTGGGACTGTTCTGTCGCCAAGAGAAACACCAAAGAGTGGTTGGCAAAGTCGACTGGCTGGCACATCAGGATGTAGTGTATGCAGCATGGTAACATTCCGATATCAAGGGACTACTCTCCAGCTCCCGAGTGGGGGGCGGGGGTACAATGACAGGATACTCCCAGGTCGAGGCCATTTTGCGGGGAAATACAGGTACCATCTGATGTCCCGGAGGCCGTGGAGAGACGCTCGGTGGCCATTCTTGACCACCGCCGAGGATGAGCAGCTTGTTTCGAGTGTTTCGAGGAGCCATGTGCTCCTGGGAAAAGAATAGAGCCAAATTCGGGAACGGGTGTTCCAACATGACAGTGCTCCTTCTGTATGCCGTTAGCAGGGCTCGGGGATTTTACAAAACAGATGAAAACATGAGCTGTCTAGACCAGATCTTCCTCGACGGCCTGGGTTATGGCCATCTGTATTCACCACAGTTCACTCTCAGCACCGAATAGATTGATGACCCGGACCTTGACCCCTTCGCGGCTGGAACCGAGGTGATAGCCAAGCTGGCCGTCGAGGTTCTCTCAGTCCATCACACTGGCAAGGAGTACATTAGTGTTCAGCCGAAAGGAAAGGTAACCATCCAGATGGGGCAAACGTCGTCAATTCGAGGTTGGTGATTAAGCTTAGTTGGACCCATCCGATTGCCGAGAGGTGTTGTGGTGTTTCAGGCCTGGCAAGCCCCATGAGGCCCCCCAATTCCGGCACTTGTTTGGCGAAAAGTGGCTAAATAGCGGGTCCTCTGGGGCGGGAGAGGCTGAAAGGTCTGAAGCCGATTAGCGGGAAGCCCCTGTCAACGTTACAGTGCCTGGGGGTGCCACCCCAAGACCCCAAGGGGGGTGATTGGAGCTCCTGATTGGCTGCTTGCCATCTTTAAGCCGTGCACCTGCAACGACGGGACCGAGCGCTCATGCAGAGACACACAACACATGTCGCAGATGGCACACTTTGAAGCAGTCAAATCCATGGCATTGCTCTTTTCAACACGGGAATGGCCTCGCTTGAATTCCTTCACCTGACTTGGATGCCTTGGCCACCGGATCTGTGCGAGTTCCGACTGAAGAAGGGGGCTCTTGACATGTCTGTGTCCTCACCTTCAGCCAACCACAGACAGCACGCCATCTCAGGATTGCACCACGTCTTGCGATGACAGCTACGGACAGGCACAGCATGCAGGCACCATGTAGGCACACCACCATCTGAAGATAACGAAGCAGTGTGGTCTCCCAAATTAGAACCACGAGATCATCAATCATCAAGTATGTTCCAGCAGTAGCAGAATCATCCCAAGTTCATACTAATCGTTGTATACATAGCCCAATCTAATTACATTATCATGATCATCTGAAGAAACCCTAACAAACAACAAACCTCTGGAGGCCGGCCCCGGCATCTGCCGCACCCCCAGCCATTCCTGGCAGCCAGGGACCGGACACAGCACAACGCTGAAGCTCCAGAACCCTGTCCCACACTGTTGCGTGGAGACCGGACTTTACTCCTTCCCAGCACCCAGTCACTCATACGTCTGTAACCCCGGCCTTTCAGCCGGAAGCTCATCGGATGTTTAGAGCAGACTCCTGGTCCTGACCCAACTGTCACCAAGTTCTTGGGACGGCCCGCACAGGGTTGAGCTCCTTCTCTTCAGGAACCCCTGAAAAGTTCCCGAGCCGTTCATCCCTTAACGTGTGAGGTCCGACAGGTTATCCACAACTTCCTCCACATCAGCCTCCTCGACTTCCTCAGCGGCAACAGCCGGAACAGCGGTCTCTGCTGCGGCTGGAACAGCAACGGAAGCAGGAGCTGCTGCTGCCTCAGCGGTGATTGTAGCAAAAGCTTGAACAACAGCTGAAGCTGAAGCAACAGCAGCAGTGACAGTAGCAACGTCGGCGGATGACGTAGAAGCAACACTGGCGGCACCAACGACAACATCTGGGTTTGCGGTGGCAATGCTGAAAACTGCCCCAAAATCTGCCGAAGCAACGGACTCAACAAGATCATCAACTCCAGGGTCAGCCGTGGCGATCGTGAAGTCTGCAGTCGCCGTCCCAGTTGCTGTCTCCAAGGGCGGGTTCTCGGCCGTTGCAATGGTGAAAGCAGCTTCTTCCTGACCACCAAAGCCCGAACCAATCGTGCCTGATCCAGATCCTTGAGCACACGACTGACGTCTGGCATACTGGCCGCGGCGAAGTGCGGTCCGCTTCATGGTTTTCCTGGCATCGGCGATTTCTCGCTTGAAGAGGCCTAGCGACATTCATCAGCAAATGCTTCACTCACTCGTGGGGGACAAGAGAAGTATACGGACCTAAGTTGAAACCCCCAAGCACCCTCCCCTTGCTGAACAGATTTTGAACGCCCCCTAGATTGAGAAAGCCGAGCTGTTGAAATTGTTGCAGCTGAGCAAGCTGAAAGAACAGATCGACATCATTGTTGAAGCCAAAGCCCAGGATGTTATTACGGTTCAGCTGCCCACCCAAACAGAACCCGCTGAGCATAGCCAGGATAGCATCAACAATCGCATCTTGATTTCCGAGGTCGATATTGCCTAGGTTAAGACCGTTGACGTTCAGGCTGTTGAGATCTACCTGTCCACCCAAGTTCAAGTTATCAAGATCGATATTGGGCGAAGCAAAGCTGCTGGTGGAGTTGCTGAAAATGCCGGTGGAATTGTTGTTCAAGACCTGGGCTGACGCCAGGCCAACGGAAAGAAGTAGAACTGCGGTCTTCATGATGGGTGGTATTCTGTGAGAAGTCTGCCTGCAAACAAGGATGGGAATAGAATGAAAGAATGGAAGGAGCACAGCTAGAAGATATCAGCACATATTTCAAAGCAACATCACAAGCAACATACCTCTGAAGTAGAAGAAATTAGAAAGAGCGTAAGTGGAAAAGAATCGAGCAGCACAGAACGAAAGAGACCCTCGAAACACCAAACATCAAGGACCAGCCCAGTGATATACACTCGTCTGTCACCTCGTCATCTCAAATTAAGGCACATCCCACGGCTGGTACCGCTGCCGGCTGCCGGATGCAAGTGTTTGGGAATTTTCTGTGATGAAGATGGGATGAAGAAACAAATCCACCCATTAATCATAAATCTATCCACCTAATATCCCGTCTTTTCACACGGTCGATGAAACGGGGGGTTGATATAAGCCGAGAACATCACAATCACAGCATACAAATCAAGGTTCTGGGTGGGTGTATGTGCATGTCATGCGCGGTAGATCCTGAGGATGAGACTTGGGGGCACGGCTGGTAAAGGGCAAGACGCGGGATGGGGGATTTGAGGCAACCTACCTATCTAGTTCTCATAGAACGCAGTCAATGGGGAGAGTGAATATTGTGTCAAAGCACAATATCACCATCATGCCAGGTTTCTTCCAGTGAATGGAATGGCTTCAGATCACATCATCACCCCATTGACAAAAGCATACTCTTGTCTGTCAACAGGTTGTGATTCCCCACGTTATAAGGTAGACAAACGCAACCAGCGCACTTGATATACATCCTCCCTCCCTCCTTGTTCCAACGACTTTCAAAGGGCGTATGGTCCAGTGGTAGGACATCTCACTCGCACTTCTGAGCCCTCCCTGCAAGACCTAATAAATCCCTACCCCTAGATAGGACGGGATGTTGCGCAGTGGTTGGACAGCAGGTCCTTGGTATGAGAGGGTCCCGGGTTCAAACCCCGGTACGTCTATTTCTTGATCTTTTTCTCTTTTTTTCTTCCCCTCTAGTATCTATCTAATCTTTTTCTTCTTATGTCGCCTTCTCTTCGCAGGTAGTTCTTGATCAGCCAGAGCTAGGACACCCCTAATTAATTCCTCATGCCAGGTTTGTCGAGCAGTAAAACATGGGATATGGCATCCTACCATCTCCCGTTTGTCACCCTCAATCACCACGACAGAAACAAACACCCTCAATCGCCACATCATGACTTACCACACTTTATATACATCCTTCCTCCCCCGCCACATCAACAACTACTTCAGGGCGTATGGTCTAGTGGTCACGATTTCTCGAGAGCCATCATTCTGTAGCATTCGTAGCCCATAACACGCTCCGTCAGGAGCCTCTGTCAGTGGTTCGGATCTACAGAGTGCCAAGTCCCCGTTCAACACGAGCGGGATCCCCGTTGACACTGGTGAGATAGCTATGGCTCTTGAGGACCTAGGTTCGAATCCTAGTGCGTCCATCATCATTTTTGCCGTTTTTCTTTTGGTCTCGGGGGTTAAAGGTTCTTCATGACTTTGTGTGCTGTGCTGTTATATGGTGAGATAGGTATGTGATGTGAGCGTCGTAGACGACAGTGCTTTTGCGTTGATAGGTGCTCTCAACAAGACAATGTTCCCTAAGCTAAGTTCATCATGCCGCTGTCCCTCTATCCATTGACTGCCTGCCGTCTCACTCCTCTTTGCCCCTCCAGGCAAACAGACTCTCACGGGTATCTACCTGCCAAGCACATACAACCACCTGCATATAATATCCCAACCGTATAGCAAATATCAATAACAAAAGCCAGGGCGTGTGGTCCAGTGGTCAAGACTTCTATGTACTAGTTTCTCTTACCTCCTTCTCACCCTACCATGTAGCTGTGATGAAGTCGTACAAGTCCAAGGCAGTCCTCCATAGAGGCCTGGGTTCGAACCCCAGCGCGTCCATTCTTTTGTTTTTGATTCATGATTAAATAAATCTCGGACAGTACCGTATTAATTGAAAGGAGAGACATAAATAGACCTCATTCCCCCTCCCCAGTGGGATAACCATTGGCATATAAGATAACTTTGTCGTTGAGCAGAGCAGTCGAACACCACAACAAACATCACAACCCACACACCTCACAACACCACCCAGCCCAAACCTCCCCATCTCCCTCATCATAATCCCAAGACAACCCTATCCCAAACCCACCAACACCACCAGCAGACACCCACCCCTCCTTCCCTCCCAGGGTAACTCCCAGCCCAGCAAGTCGCTCCTTCCCTCCCCAAGTTGCTCCCCCCACGTTATAGCGCCGTCGCCGGGACCATACACACAACAAAACAAATACCAGGGCGTATGGTCAAGTGGTTACGACGTCTCATTTGCAATTAATTCTAATGTTCGTTTGCTCTTCAACATTGCTCCTTGGGCGGTAGAAAAGGGTGACCTATCATTACGCATTGCTCCATGTGAAGGTCCCGGGTTCGAACCCCGGTGCGTCCATCTTTTGCCCTTTTCCCTCTTCCAAACTCATTTTTTCCTTCTTTTTTTTCTTTCTTCTTTTTCTTTCTTTTCCCCTCTCTTTTTCTTTTTTCCCCCCTCTTTTTTTTCTTTTTTTTCTTTCTTTTTCTTTCCGTTTTCTTTTTTCCTTTTTTCTTTCCTTCTTTTTTTTCTTCTTTTTTTTTGGTTGTTTGTTGACATGACGAACTTGACTGGGACTCGAACAACGTGGTGGGTGTTTACATCCAGGTTGCCTAAAGACCAGGTTCCTCTCGCCATCTCATCTCATCTCCCAGGCTGGATTTTCTCTCTCTTGATGTTCTCACCGATTGCCACAGCCTTTGACGCTTGTGATTTATTTCAAGATTATTTATTTTCCCTTCCAAAGTTGCAAAAAGTCGCAATAATTTCACCGCAAAAAAAGAATTCCATTCCAACACTCGAGACTTCCCTCTACTTTCCCCAGAAAAGTCAAGCCCAACCAACATAAACACTCCAACAAAAATATAGTCATCCGACTCCCAATGTTATTATACCTTGAAAAAATCCATTCTTAATTCCCTCCATTCAACCAACCACACAAACTCGCTTTCCTCGACCTTTCCAACAACCACCAACTCACTCTCTTTTAGGTACGCACCCTCAAATTCAGATAGCTTGGCCCATCTATGCTCATACACCCCCCCCCCCCCCAAAAGATGAACTTGCATCAGATTTCACTTTCAAACATACCTTACGTTCTCAGCTCTCTGAGAATCAGCAAAACAATCCAACATTCAAAAGACACATTATACCCATATCAGCATTAAAAGAAAATAACAGAAACTTCAAATGTATTTAAAACCGGTGGATAAGTGTGCTCTGATCTACACTCCCCCCCCGCCTCCCCCCCTTATCCCTCTCTACACTCACAATGTCGAGCATCAACTCCATCTACAGGTCCCAGACTCAACCACCTCAAAATTTCATTCTACCACTGCTGAAAGACCACGTCCTTCTCCTCAGACCCTCCCCCTCACTTCTACTCACCCATTGTTTCTGCCCTTCCAACCCCTTATTTATACCCACCCCCCGTCCCCCCTACCAAATTCCAGAGATCGCCGAGGTATCTGAGCAAAAACCACGACCGACATCAACACCACGAGCGCCCAGTTCTCGTGGATGGAATCACCTTTACTCGGCGCCGCCTCATCTGTGGGTGGGCTGCCCCCCCTTCCCCCCCTATCATTCCTCTTCCACGTTCACATTCTCTCTCTCTTAGGGGCGAGTTCGCGCGCACACACACACACACACACACACACAATATCTCACTCTGGTACCATCGACATCTCATCTCTCTTGTCTTGCCTGTCATTGAAAAAAAAAAACATGAAAAAAACTCAAACAAAAATAAAAATAGAAACACCCCAAATATTTGCATTTGCCCTACCCGTGTTTATCAACCCATCGCGTATGCTTTGCTTCCTTCCCTCCCTCCTCTCCACTCTCCACCTCCAATCATAATAACCAGCAGCAATCCCAATGGAAAAAAAAAAAGAGTTCCCCAGCAGTAATAAACGAATACAACCCCTCCCTGTATTGCTCCTTCTTCTCTTCCGTCATTTGCCAAAAAGAACAGGCATTTATTTGTCTCTTTATGCGCCTCCCTCCCCCCCATCCACACTCTCAACCTCCAACCCCCATTAGCAGCAACCACCACCCTTATCACCCCCAGCCTGCCCACCAACATTCACCCCCGTCGACGACCCAGCACCCCCTTGCTCCGTCTTGCTCGTGTCGATGATCCTCTTCTTGATATCCGCCGCCAGGCTGTAAAACGCCTTTTCGATATTCTCATTCGTCTTGGCCGACACCTCCAAAAACGGGATCCCCAACTCGTCCGCGAGCGCCTGGCCCCGTTCCGTCGACACCACCCGCTTCTCTTCCCAGTCGCACTTGTTGCCAATCAAAATCTTGTTGACGCCCTCGGTGGCGTGTTGCTCGACGTTGGCGAACCAAGTGCGAATGTCTAAAAATCCATCCATGTCAGTCATTTACCTCAGGGGGTGGGGCGGGGGGACCCAAGTAGTGGGAGACATACTGTTAAACGACCTTTCATCCGTCACATCATACACCAGCAAGATGCCCATCGCGCCCCGGTAATACGCCGTCGTGATCGTCCTGAACCGCTCCTGACCGGCCGTGTCCCAAATCTGAAGCTTCACGCGCTTGCCGTCCAGCTCGATCGTCCTAATCTTGAAGTCGATGCCGATCGTGGTGATGAACGAGGGTGTGAACGAGTCCTCCGAGAAGCGGAGGAGGCAGCAGGACTTGCCCACGCCCGAGTCTCCGATCAGCAGGAGCTTGATCTATATAACCAGACAAAAAAAGCAAAAGAGTTAGTATATTGGGGGGGGATATGGCTATCGGTTTCGCGCGAGAGATATTGGGGGGGGGGGGGTGGGGGGAGGGGAGGGACCGGAGTGGCCGGAGAGGTTGTTGTATCATGGAAATAGGGGGTTTGCCATACCAAAAAGTCGTAATTCCTGTTACTCGACATGGTGGGCGGTGATGGATCTGTCTCTGTAGAATAGTATGTAGAATCGATTCGAGGTATAGGTTCGGCACGTCGGGGAATAAACTCTCGAGGTCGGGTTTTGATGGTTCTCGCTCAGGGAAAGTCAAAGGGTGTGGTTACGTTGGGCCTTGTCTTGATGGCAGCGGCAGGTAAATCGTAATTGCGCACAATCGAAAGAGACTTTGGCAGATTGGGTTTTGGTATGTGTATCGAGAGGGGACCGAACTGCGGAGAAAGGAGTGACACGGGTCAGCAACAGTGGAATTTTTGGATGTATTCTGGTCGAAGATGGACGACGGAGCGGCACGGCGGCGGCGGCAACGGCAACAACAGCAGCTTTGTTTGGTATGACACAAAGTTTGGGTCCCACGGTGAATCAGGGAACTAATGAGCAAAAGGGCAGGGACGGGGCCTTATCACCGGTAGTTGTGTAAAGTCGGTGAGGGTGGGCAGGAAGGATGAATGGCTTGAACTTACACAGCAACGGCTACGGCAGGTAAGAAAGTCAAGAGAGGAATCCGGGGGGGGGGAGTGCTGTTGCTAAGGCACTGCGTAATCAAAGCGTCGTGTTCTAGGTTGCAACCGCACTGGTGGAGAGAAACTTGGCGGCGGCGGCCGGCGTGTCGGGATGGTTAAAAAAACACAACCGGGCTCGGTGGGAAATGATGGCGACAAAGAGCAATCGGTGACGTCCTTTGCAAATTGTCCTAGAGTGAGCCTCAACACGCAACTGGAAGCTTGGGAGGTCATGCACAACGAGGGACGGCCACAGGTCACCAAGGGGTCTTGGCAGCAGCAAGCACAAGGCCTGGGCGGCGCTGGGGCCAAGGGGTCACACAGACAAGCCCCACTATGGAGTACGCCACAACGTGTTATCAATCAGCCATCTTGACATTCCTCGTACATATGAAGGCTTTGGAAGATACAATAAACAGGCCTTTAAGATAATTAACATGCCCCTAAAAATAATTAACAGGCCTTAAACGCTAGTCAATACGCCATTTAATACGCCTTCGACTGATTCAAACAACCCTCTCGACTACCTAGCCATCTTTAAGAGGATATCGCTATCTTTTAAAGCCCATAATAACTATTTAACGTCTCTTTATACTACCAAAGGGCCTATTAATCATCTTTCAAGGCCGTAATTTCATGTCATCACTTCATCAGCCATTCCGCATATGCCCAACGAATCCTATCGAGCACCCTGTACAACTCGGGCACCGCCCTAACCTTCGCAAACTCATCAAGATCCTCCATAAACTCCTTTTCAACCTCACGGGGAAGAACACCTTCTGTCAGGCTGCGCAGAACGTGAGCTTCACAGACCAATAGGCCGCGGTCCCGGTATGAGATGGTGTTGTCTTGGTTGTGCTGTGCCTCGGTCAAGATCCTGTCCATTTTCCGCAAGACCCGGCGAGTGCGTCGGGCTCGTTTACCACGGCGCAGGCCCTTGCGGCTGCCGAAGGCTGTTCTAAGATATTGAAAAATCCCAATGGAAACTGCATCGCGTTAGCCATGTCCGGAATATCAAGAGTTATTCGAAACTTACCAAGAATACCAGGTGTCAGCCCAATGAACCCAAAGACCAATTCTTGGCTCTTGAGCAGCGCATCAATGCCGCTGATGGCCACCTCAAGGTCAACCTTTGTCTTCTGCACCTGGATGAGAACCGACCGGACCAAATCTCCTCTGATGGCGCCCACAAAGGGCTTCTTCAGATCCTTTTCGTATGCTTTGAGGATAGGAGTGACATCGCCCTCCTTCACCCGAGTCCGGATCTCAGCAATCTGGGCCTCGGTAATGGTTGAGTTACCGACAGCAATGTCGGGGTTGTCTCGAGAAAACTCAACCACCATGCGCTCCAGACTTTCGCGATCGGCTTTCAAGCTGTCACGGCTCATGATGGCGATTTCGCTGGTTTCATCGTGGCGGATCGTACCGATCACCTTCTTAATCGGCTCAACAACCCAGTTGAACCAAAAGTCTCTTGTTGTCACACCCAGATCCCGTATCCAGTTGATAATGTCGGCTTTCCTGTGCACAAGAACCCGCAGGATGGTCGAGGACGAAAGAAGGAGAGCAATAGCCGGAATCCAGTATCTGACGAGTCTAGAAGGGCGACCATTCTTACGGGCCAGCATCGAGGCAGACACGGCATGCCGGGGAATGCCCTCATCAAGGATGTTGAGAAGCCGACGGGCGATGATAGCAGGTCTTGCAGCAGCCTCCGCGGCATTATCGATGTGAATGGATAACTCAGGATCCTGCTCAACACCCCGAAAGATCTTGTCTTCGAACTCTTTCATGTTGTGTTCCAGCGTGAGAGAACCGAAGAGAATGGAGTCCATCAGAGCAACGCTTCGCTCCAGCACCACTCGCCACTCCTCGTTGTAGGCATCCTCTTGCCTCACTTCACCCTGGTCTGGTGTCCGTAAGTCGAGTC